GTTCGGCCATTCGCGGCGGCGCTGAATGATTGGCACACCGGCCGCCATAAAGCGACCCCTCTTGCACCAGGAAGCGTAGGAGGACAAAGGCATGGAAAGCGCAGACAACATGTGCGGGAAATGTTTTCCACACGCCGCATTAGGCACATGTGGAAAATATGAGCGAATAATGCGAAATGTCCAACCCCGCTCCAAAAAGTGAAGGCTTTAGTGTTGTTTTTTCACTTTTGGCTGCCATACAGCAACCGCCATAATAAATGCCTGCCATAATCCAGCATGGAAGCACTAGATATACATTTTTTTTTTTAATGTCTGCACCTTGTCTCATAACATTTGATTCAACAGTCAGTAGGGTAGTGTCGAAATCCTAAAACCATTATATCAACATTGGCACAGCAATTTGAAGTTTAAAAAAATTTTTTAAAAAAGGTTACCGTACTTGTGTCATGTTTGTGTGATGATTGTGGAGCCAAAAACAACAACTGAACAAAATGCAAGAACCAAAAACACTGACAGCGGTAGAGTGGAGAAACTAAATCTAAAACACACAAGTCCTGTAAACCCCCAATAAACTAAAATTTAAAAAAAAAAAAATCATGACAGTAAAACAAAACAATGTGACAACAGCACAATGATCCGACAAAAAAACGGGGGTAAAGACAAGGGAGTGGTGACAAGAACAGGTGGAAACAAAACGAAAAAAATAAAAATAAAAAAAGTTAATCTAAACAAAAACTAAATTGTGACAGGTCACCTCCCTCAAGAGAAAGATCCCAAACAAAAAAACGGGGGTAAAGACAAGGGAGTGGTGACAAGAACAGGTGGAAACAAAACGAAAAAAATAAAAATAAAAATCAAAAAAGTTAATCTAAACAAAAACAAAATTGGGACAGGTCACCTCCCTCAAGAGAAAGATCCCAAACGGGGATGCATGGCGGCCGCAGGACAACAGGATGTTGTGGGGCTGTCTTAGTTGACACGCTTCTGCAACATCACATCATGTGGTCATCGGGGAGGAGGGGGGGTGCCTCTGGATT